CTCTCTCTCTCTCTCTCTCTCTCTCTTTGATTTCATCTTTCTTTTCTCCCGTTCTCCAAAAAGCAAACTCATCCTTTTCTCCCCTCCATTTTTTCTTTACAACCCCCTCTTCCTTTTTCGTCTCCCTCGTATATATATTCGACATCGTCTTTTTTAACTTCGACTTCGACTTCTTCTTATTATTCTTATTCTTGTTCCGTTTCCGCCTTCCAAAGTTTTTGGGGTAACGCGCGAGTTAACTTTTTCGCGATAGTTTGTGTGCTGTACTTAAAAACTTCAAGTAACATCTTCGTCGGGACAAAATTAGTTGTCCCGAGGCTTTTACTACCTCCTCTATCTACTGTTGTTCGTTCACATAACCAAGAACGGTACTTGCTGATTTTATCGGATCGATATATTCGATCGGTATAATACCGGAACTATCGAATCCGTGGATCGTCCTCAGCGTGTCAGTGTCTTCTCGTTCTCTTCGTCGTCCGACTTCTTGGGAATTAATCGAGACTCGTAATTCAGAAAGGACGAAGAGAGTAAGCTTCTTCTTCTTCTTCTTCTTTTTCTTCTTCTTCTTCTTCTTCTTCTTCTTCCGAGGTCGTCGTTCTTCTTCAACTTCGTATTCTTCTTCTACTTCTACTTCTTCCTCTTCTTCTTCTTCTTCTTCTTCTTCATTAGATCGTCTCTGCCAAACTTTTTATTTACCGTAAGTACCTTTTCTTATTTCCTTGACTTCTTTCTTTTTTATCATCATCATCATCATTATCATCATCTTTATATCTTCTTTATGGTTTTCTTGTAATTAATTAAATTTTTTATTCATTCTTGATAAAAAAAAAAAAAAAAAGAAAAGCAAAAAAATATCTGAAACATTTGTCGAAAGAAATTAATATAAATTTATGTATTAAAATTAGAGAATAAATTAGAATAAATTTGAATAGATTTAATCGAGTTTACTAGTTTATATTCCTTAAGAAGTTTAGTCGATAATCGATAGATACAAACACACACACAAACACACATATATATATATATATTCGAGAGAAGGAAGCGACCGGCTTTCAACTCGCGTTATGTAATACGGCGATCGAAACCGCGCGAGAGTTCTTCTCCCTAAGAATAAATTGCGATTATTGAGTTTCGCGGTGCGGAGAGAACGTTAACATTATTAACGGGATTTATAAAAGGGGAGGAATGTCAGTTGACAAGGTTTTCTTTTGGCAGCAATGACGACGATACAGTCAACGGAGTTTGTTCAGTTTCTATCGGCTAAGTTCTACTTACTTACGTTTATTATTCCTCTATTCTTATTCCCATTAAACAAACTTCTTCTTGTTTCTCTTATTTGCGAAATTCTATCACTTCCTCCTTCCCCTACTCTTCCACCTCAACCTCCACCACCATCTTATCTTCCTTCACCCTTTTCTTTTCCTACTCCTAAACTTGCGTTTCATATTTTGACGTATAAAATATTTGACATTATACTAGACGTATTACAATTTGCTAATCGAAGTGACGTGTAAATATATCTTTAACATGTTGTCCGTTAATTGCACACACGACGACACTTTTTATAGACTGGGTAAGTGTCTCATTTGTAAATTATCATTTATACTCAATTATTATTATTATTATTATTATTATCATTATTATTATTATTATTATTATTATTATTATTATATATATATAAATATTACATATACCGGCCCCATAATTATATATAATTTATAATTTATTTCTATATTTATAACATCGTAAGCTCTCCGAACTTGGGTAACTTATTAACATACATTATTATTTAAAAATATTCAACTCTTATATTATTTTTTGTTGTTTTTTTCCATGAAAAATATATCGTTAAAAAAAGGAAAATAAAATCGATAAAGTTAGGAGGATGGGTATATTATCGAACGTGTTTCGTACATTGCATAACATGTTTTAATATTATGTATTGTCGTCGATACTGCTGGGCCCGAAAGCTCGACGTGTATCATCATCTCTCACTCGCATTGCTTTTCACCGTCCTAATTGCGAGATATTGAGCCGATTACTCGACACATATGTATATCGGCCATCAAATATTATAATCCCTAGATATACTCAGCAAATTGGCAAGGCCGTCGAGAGAGATCCTACCGGCTAGCCGTGAGGGGAATTTCGTAATCGTTCTTTGCTGCTCGTTCGACACCGTGTGTATGTGTCTCTCTATATAATAATACAGAAGGGAACTTAGCCTCGCTGTTTTCGCTCGTAAATTTTTCGAAGATATCGAATGCCGACGCTATTTATATGGCTAATAAACGAGATTGAATTTGTCTCGACGAACGGCTCGGGCTCGAATCGACCGATACTTTTTTTTTATTTTCTTCTTCTTCTTTTTCTTTTTATTTTTCTTTTTCTTTTTCTTTTTTTTTTTATTCCCCTTTTTACGATCGTTTTCTTTTTGATCCAAAGTTCCGTTTTGAATAAATAATATGTCGCGTTAAAAGAAAAGAAAAAAAAAAGGCCTCTCCTCTCCCCCGCTCCCCCCCCCCCGCCCCAAAACTAATTAGAGTTTACAAGGTGACGCGATCGTTCGTTCGAATAAATTAATTATTTATGTTTTATAGAGTTGTGTTTTGTTGTTTAAAAAGGATCGACAGCGAATTTCGCGATCGCGTCATATTTCGTTATTTAGAAATCGATCGACATTAAATCCGATCCGTACGAATAATCGATATGTGCAAGATTTATTTATTTTTTTTTTTTTTTTCTAAACACATAATCGTTCCACGATTCTTTCGTAAGATTTTTGTTTCGTTTGTTTGTGCGCTTGGGTGCATATGTTAATTAACATATTATTATTATACATTTTATATATATATATATATATATATATATATACATATATTAATATATTTTTTCCGAGACATTTTTTTATCGGACAGTAATTTGGCGTACGTGCGACAATCGATTCGAAAAAAAAATAAACATAATATGTAAATTTATAGAACGGACTAGGATATTTTTTATTTCTATTTTGTTCTCTCTTTCTCACTCTCTCTCTCTCTCTCTCTCTCTCTCTCTCTCTCTTAAATATTCTAAATACTTTCTAATGCACAGGTATATGCACATGTACTCGTACACCTATCACCATGTTTTTTACCTCCAACTTTAATGGAAAAGTAAGCAATTTAGAAAGTTAGCGTGACAACCTATTGACGATTGAATTCTTATGTTATTTTCATGTTTTTTAGACGAAAAATATAAAAAAGAAAAATTCAAATCGAACGATAATAAGTTACCCGTGTTTTATTTTTTAATTATTTCATCTTCAATTCAAATAATCTGTTTGATCGTCGCGTGCAAAGTCAATTTGATAACGCGAAGGTGTTGTTAGATCCAATCATCGTAAACGGTAGCTTGTTAGATATAGATAATCTTGCCGATCAATAATAATAACTTCTGAATTTCGGTTTTATCTTATAATGATGATCATCGTGGAATTCGTTCGTTTTGTTTGACGTAAAAAAAGAAAAAAAGGAAAAAAAAATTCCTACAATTACGGAGATAGATAGATATGTATGTGTAGAGAGAGAGAGAGAGAGAGAGAGAGAGAGAGTGTGAGAGAGTGGGTGGGAAGAAAATCGTACGACGTTTATTATGTTCCCTTTCGATGATCTCCGCGAGTTCAGTCATTTGCAGAAAGTCCTTATCGAAATATAATATATTATAGGACATAAATAGTCGCGTGATCGACAAATAGGTCAAGCTAATGCGATAATATGCATTATTATAACTTTATTCGCTTACGTTTCTCGATATTTTCCAGAAGGAGAAGAACCAGGAAGAAATTGAACATATGTAATACAAACAAACACATGAACATACATACATACATACATATGTTCCTTTACTGATTTCTTCTCTCATTGTTTGAAATAAATATTTTGATAACATATAGCAACTGTTGTGTTAAACGTTATTATATTAAAAATATATCTACGAGTCGATGAACAATTTTTTTCCTAAGAAAGGAAGCAAACAACCGAGCATGCAAGTAAGCAAGCAAGCAAGCAAGCAAGCAAGATAAAAAGTTACTTCCATTGTTCTTTCAATATGATCAAATTAAAACATATCGTCGATAAAAATCTATATAATAACGAAATGATAAGTTGATTAAAAGAAAAAAAAAAAAAAAAAAAAAAAACGGAATAAGATCGGGAGGTTAGGAGGGGGGATCGATCCGGTCGTTATTATTGGTTCGTTGTCGCGATGACGCGAAGAGAAATGGATAATGGACAATAAAAACTTATATGACGATTAGTAAATCGATCGAGAAAAATTTGCAAGAGAAAGAAAACGAATTGAATTCTCTTTTTTTATACTTCGCGTCTGTCTGCTTGCTGGCTGCCTGGCTGGCTGGCTGGTCACATTGGTGAACGGGAGTCAACGCGATGACACGCCGTTATCGGCGCATCGTAAATAAAAGAATCTCTCTTCGCAAATAACAGTGGGACACTCGTAATCGTTCGGTTGCAAGAACAAGAGAAGAGACAGACACGACGTACAATGTGACAAACGGAGAGGAGGAGAGACATATAGTAGACAATCACATATATATATATATATACCATCATGCACATGCACAAAACCACACACACGATATGCAGCGTGCACTTTTTCGCCCTTTATCCCGCCTCTCTTTTTCTTTATCGCGTGTATTCACGCTTATACATGTGTATGTATATATATGGTTGGTCGTGTATACGTCTGTTGTGTGTGTATGTGCACTGCATTCCATTTGATTCGTCTCTCCAACTATTTAGACAGTGAGAGAGAGAGAGAGAGAGAGGGAGACGGAGGAGAAAGAGAAAAAGACAGAAAAAAACAATACTAATGCGGAGAAAGGCTGCACATGAATCTGTTTTCTTTTCTTTATCTCATTTCATAATAATATTTTCTATTACTCTCTCTATTTATACGTGGGATACGTTTAAACGTGTATCTCGTTTACAAGCTCTTTCCAACTATAGTGTAGAGAAAGAGTGAAAGATTTAAAACAAAACAAAATATATATATATATGTGTATATTAACGCTGGATTCTGCTCTTTTCTCTTTATATTCGTTTCATTTTACACCATTTGTTTTTATTCATTCGTATATAAATATTTAAAATGCATTTAATTAATCATTTCATATGGGTATAATATATTGATTATTTTAGAAAGAAATAGAAAGAGAAATAGGAAGAGATAATTAATTAATATGAATGAAAGTACGCGGATAGTTTAAAATGAATTGTACTTTATTATTTAATTTATCCATTTACTTTACTTTTCCATTAATCTGTATCTATTCGTAGATAAAGATACGTGTAATATATCATTTGAAAAAAAAAGCGAGAGAAGATTAAAAGACAGGAGTTATCAAAATTAAGATAATAAAGTATATAAAGCCTAAGGGTACATAAATTGTAATAATTTATATTCCACATGTTTATATTTTCTTCTACTTCTTTGAAATTATCATCCATACTTTGTCTCTTATCTTTTTTTCACTCCCTTATCTTATTCTTCTTCCGCTCGGTTATTTTTTTCTCTTTATTATTCTTACATTATTTTTTTTTCTTCACTTCATTATTACTCTTTCTTTTTTTTTTTGTTTGTTTCCTTTCCTTCACATTCGTTCACAGGTGTGACGTTAGAGAGTCTCGAGATGTTACTCTCCGGTGCTTGGTTCGAGGTTATAGCCGCAACACTTCTCACTATTTTACTCCTGGCTACTAGTTATCGGCCACCTTGGTGGTTCTGGACCGGAACTACTCATAAATCTAATGGTAAGTTTGCCATACAATATTTTATTATATCGATCATATATTTTATTTTAATTATAAAAAATTAGTGCTAATCGACGAGTACACGTCGTCATTAAATTAATGACAATATTTTTGTGTTACGAGAAGTATTATACACGTCGATCACAGCTATTAGGTTAATTAAGATTCTTCTAAATTTCTCGTTCGATATTTAATCAATTTTCTTTTTAATTATTCTAATCGTTGAAATCAATTTCAAATACTTAACGATTTACTTTTTAATTCATGATTTTATACAACTCTGCAAATTATTATCATTAATAATATATGTAAATTCTTACTATTTTCTTCGTTTTTATCGATCGCACATGTTTTAATCACGAATAACATACGACCAGATATACATTCTTGCTTTTGAAATAGATATTTTCTTTCTCAAGGATCTCGCATTTGCAATATTGTAACACATGATTTCTCTAACGGATCAGAGATAAATATCTTTACCCTTTCAATCGTGCAGTTATAAATTTGTCATAGAAAGAAAATAAAGATATAATATAATGAAAGAAAAGTGAAGGAAAAATTAGGGAAAAAAATTTTATATAAAAATAAAAAAAATGAAAAAAAATATATATATATATATATATATATATGAAAAAAATGAAAAAGATAATATCATGAGACATAGTAAGAATTTGAAAGTTTCAACGCGTAGTACGCCCCGCTGTTCGTGCTACACATATTATCGAAGTGACGTAAATGAGAGAGTAGACGAGAACGTATGTGTTTAGTACGTACATGCATACATACTTACAATTAGACACAGATATATGTATAAGTGTAATAGTATGTATACTATGCTTATATATACGATGCAAAAGGTCAATGAAACGATTAGACGATCGTATCAAGGTCGACCGATAACTAGATTTTTATCTGACGCTTATCGTTTAATATTATATATTCGACAAAATGAATATTACGCTTATGTTTCGTGTGATCTATAAGCTCGTATGCGTGTATTATTATTTCCTCATTTAATCAATTCGTTGGCACGTGTTATCTCTATCTATCTTTCTTCCTTTCTTTCTTCGTCATATTTTTTCTTCTTTTCTATTTTTCTTCTTCTGTATAATATATCTTATACGATTTTATTTCTTTTTCTTTTTTTTTTTTTTTTTTCCTTTCGAGATTCTATCATCCTCCTCTAATTATTTATATACTTAACATTAGAGAAAAAATTGTGGATGATGATAGAGTTAAACTTATATACGATGATAGCTTATAATCTACGGTTTAACACATACACACATCGATACGTGTTTATCTTAACGATGGCGAAGTTGAATTATAAAACCAGTCGAGATAATACTTCTCTGATCAACGAAATTGAAAAAAAAAAAGAGAGAAAAAATAAATGATAATGGATCCTTAAGCTTTGCATAAATTTGAAATCCCTGGATCACGTGATATTACGTTGATTCTCTTTATATGGAATAGATTTTTGGAATTAGTTATTAGACGTTATACATTTCCGGTTGGCTGACAAACAAATATATATGCTAATGGACCCTTTTTTCCTAATCTGGAAGTCATGGGATCACACGGTCTTCTTATTTGATTTTTCGACTAGAGAATTGTTAGACGTTTTTATATTTCCGGTGGGTTGAGAAACAAAAAAAACAAAGAACCAAAATTTATAATAGAGATCCTCTTCCATAAATTGAAAGGGTTCACGGGATCACGTGAGGATTCACCATTGGACGGACGTTTTTATATTTCCGGTGGTTTAGACGGAAAAAAAACCTCCATCATAATGATAATGTATTCTTCATTTTCGAAGATTATTTTATACAATTCTAATAATCGAATATTTAAAAAAATATTTAAGAATGAGATTATATAGGGTATTGTTACTATTTTATCGTATAAAACGTGGAAATGGGGTTTAACGACAATAGCTTTTGTTCCTCCTCAGGCATATCGGAGGAGAAGGATAGGAAACCATTTAAAACAGCACGGGACGTGCCCGGTCCGTTCTCCTTACCTATTCTTGGCACAAGATGGATATACTCCTGGATGGGATACTATAGAATGAACAAGATTCACGAGGCTTACAAAGGTAAAGACTTTGGCCTCTGTCCCTACGAATTTATTATTATTTTTTTTTTGAAAACATTTTGTCGAAATATCAATACTTTATATATTATATATTTCAATTCAATTAATATCGGGGAACAGAAAATCAAATTCTACGTAACAGTATATATCAATTTGTGATAAAGTAAAATTGTCGTAGTAAAATAAATTCGAACGAATAATTATTGTAGAGTAACGGACGGGTGGGGAGGGAGGGAGGGCGGGCGAGGGGGTGTTAAGGTTAATGTTTTAAGCTTGGAAAAACAATAAACTCATCGAACTAGCACTGTGAATGAAATTAAACAAAAAAAATAAGGGGAAAAATATATAAAAAGGAATGAAACCGAGGATGGGTGAAAACTGTGTTAGAAATTACGTAAGAGAATAAAGTAATGTCATCGAACCTTTTGAATGAATGAGAAAGATCGTTCCTCGATATCGACCAGCCCTATAATCCATGATTTAAGAGTAGATCTGAATCGACGCTACGGAGGCTTGTGCAAGGAGGAGGCATTATGGAACTGGCCAGTGATATCGGTATTTTCTCGCCATGACATTGAGCTGGTACTCAGGAAAGGATCTAGATATCCTCTTCGTCCTCCGCAAGAAGTCATATCGCACTATCGACATTCGCGACGTGATCGATATACTAATCTTGGTCTCGTAAACGAGTAAGTATAATCGATTTTTACCCTTAAACATGTACATATATATATATATATATATATATATATATATATTTATAATCGATGTATTTAACTCTTTAATGCATGACTTGTTTTTTATCAATAAAAAAGAAAAAAGAAACAAGGGAATATACGGGTTTTGCAGGTTTAATAATATATTTTTGTCGATCGCGTCCGATATAATTAATACAAAATATTATAAATTATGTAAAAAGAAAAAAGAAAAAAAGAGAAATAAAAAAAAAAGGAACAAAAGTGATATTGTTGCGCCCCCATAAATTACTAACTAAATTTATTATATTTATTGATTTTTCGAAAGAGCATGCATATAAGATGTTAATTAACATTTTGATTGCCAACGTTGTTGCGAAATCGATTTAGAATTGTGTCAATTTCCACGACACATTCTTATTGCAAATTTGTTCGTATTATGTTAATGTCGTTGGGTAAAAAGATATCTTAAAATACGACGTGAGATATGATAGGCGTGGGCAATCAAATTGTTCATCATATATTTATTATCGTTTAAATTCAATACAATGTGTCACCATTAATTTCTATCCTTTTTTTTGTTTTTTCCTTTTTTTTTTCTTTTTTGGTTTTCTACATTTCCGTTTGTTTTAACAACGACGTTTATCTACGACACACCATCATCACCAAATATTACAACCAACAACAACACCATCGCCATCACCACCGTGCACACAAACACACACAGACAAGGCGAGACTTGGCTAAAGCTTCGTTCTGCTCTAACTCCGGAACTCACTGGTGCTAGCACGGTTCTCGGCTTCTTTCCTGCTCTAAATATCGTCTGCGACGGTTTCATCGAGCTCATACGAAAACGTAGAACCATGTTTGGCGTTGTGGGATTCGAAGAACTCGCATATAAAATGGGACTCGAGAGTGAGTTTATCATCATCTCTTTTTTTTATTTTTTCTCCTTCTTTTTCTTCTTCTTTTTCTTCTTCTTCTTCTTCGCTTTATTTAATCTTTTTTTTTTTCGTGGCACGAAAAATATTCTACGCGATGTTTATCACACATTTGTAATTATTTTTATTAAATAATCAATATCTCATTTTATATTATAAATTTGATTAATTAAAATCGAATATTTTATAATTCGAATTTCTAATTGATCGCGAGAGACTACTTTGCATAGGCTGTCAGATTAATTAGCGAATAAAATAGAAGACGTTTATTTATATGACCAATATTTTTATAATAAAAAAATTACATTCATTCATTTTAATACTCAATTTGCATAATTATTAGGTTAATGCATAATCAAATAAGTTAATCACATTTCGCTTGAATAAATATTTGTTCAAAACACCCTTCGAACTCGTACGTCACGTTAAGAAAGACATCCTCCCCTCCCTCTTTCTAAATGTTGGAAATTGTTTTAACAAACGTCGCGTTTAATAAAATGATTATAACAAATAAATCGCTTATTAAAATGATAATAAGAATAAAATTGCAAAATTAAAAATACTAACTTTTAAATTACTCGAATTCGATTACTTAAAAATAAATACAAATTGATGAAGCAAATAACAACGTTTGAAAATAAATCGAATTGAAAGGGTTAAATATATGAAACGACAGACTGATATATAAATCAATCTAATAATTATAGGAATTTTGTCGGAACGATAGTTTTCAATTGATACAATCGAATCTACGTATATTTAGCTAATCGTCCGGATAATAACACAATGTTTCCTTTCTCGTATCGAATATCGAACATTTGCACGTTAACTTTTCTTTATTTTTATTTGCTTTATTTGTTTTTTCTTTTTTCATGGTCATCGTTTACGAAAATTTTTTTTATCAAATTATCGATTTGTTTTGTTGAGAAGGCTTTTCGAATTTTAATAAAAGAACGTGATTTTTATGATATTACATGTAACACAAACCCTTTGTAATAAATTGTCGAGGTAAATGGAAATGAAAAATCGTTAATATCTTATCTCTTGTTTTCCGAAAGGTACTTGTACGTTGATTCTGGGTCGGCATCTTGGCTTCTTAAAGCCGGATTCGAGCGACACGCTTACTGCAAGATTAGCGGAAGCAGTTAGAATTCATTTCACGGCCTCGCGAGATGCCTTTTATGGGTTGCCGCTTTGGAAGGTGCTACCCACATCCGCATATAAACAGCTGATTGAGAGCGAGGATGCTATTTACAAGTTGGTATCGAATATTTATCATTTTATCATTTTTTATACATTTTGCTTTTATCGAAATAATTTGAATAAATGAATAGGAAATATATTGAACGATAAAATCAAATAAAACAATTGAATTTAAATTTTCATATTATAATATACAGGATGTTCTATAATAATAATAATAATTGATGATGATGATACAAGAGGGATAAGGATCACGAGGGAATATGATTTTATCAAATTTTCAAATTGATTTATTTCGAAAACGATATATTGCACGAACAAATTTTATTCTACATTATTGACATAATATTTCTCTATTACTCGTATAATATCAGACAAAAATTGGAGAAGAATTTTCGATTTTTTTCTTTTAATTGGAACTCGTTTTTCCTTGTTTTTTTTCTTTTTTTTCCAGTATAATTTCGGAATTAATGGAAGCAACGATAATCGAAAAAAAAAACGACGCCCGAGACGAATCCGTGGAGGCAGTTTATCAATCGATTTTACGACAGAAATCGTTAGACATAAGGGATAAAAAGGCAGCCATAGTGGACTTTATTGCGGCTGGTATACACACAGTGAGGCCGTCATAATATTCTAGTTTATAACTTTTCGTATGTATATACTTATGGAATTTCGATTATATCAAAATGTATATGTTAATTTAAACGATTTCTAGGAATCGTCAAAGATCGTTCGATTTCTCTCATTATATATAATACGATCTCTCGAAACGTTGAAACTACGTCTAACTTTTTTTAAATATAATCGAGCTTTCATGAAAAAATAACATCGAAGAGATCGCATAAGCGAGAGGATAAAAAATATTTTATGGTTTTATAAGAAACTTGTAGTAATCCGTACTTATAATATTTTCACGTGTCTCCTCTCTTCATTTTTATATATTACGAGAATATTTGTATTTTTATATTTTGAAAAAAAATGAAGGATATTATTAAGTTAATAAAAATCTAACAATATCGTATAAAATGTTATACAATAGGGAATTAAATAAGTTTCATGGTGTGTTACATATAAAGACATTTAGTTGATTCGTTTGTTCACAGTTGGGTAATACCTTAGTCTTTCTCTTCCACATGATAGGAAGTAATCCAAAAGTACAACAGACCTTATACGAGGAAGCCATGTCGTTGGCACCACCAGGTTGCGATCTGACCGTTGATGATCTTCGAAAAGCACGTTATTTGCGTGCCTGCATTACCGAAGCGTTCAGGTAAATAACTTCAAAGACTTTTTTTTTTTAAAAGAGTAATGAAATAATTGTGGACAACAAATAAAATATCTATTTCAAATCGTTTAACGCGTTTAGGCTCGTTCCTACTGCACCATGCATCGCAAGAATTTTAGACGAACCGATCGAATTAGACGGGTATCATCTCGATACTGGGGTAAGTAAATACTTTTTCTCGATTCTCCAATTGTTAAAGTCAACGATAGTTTGATTACAGAGATTTCAAATACGGTTAAAAACTTAACTAATCGGAACTGTACTTAAAGTCTTCACTTTTCTTCTATCTTCTTCATCCCAGACGGTAGTTCTCTTGCATACATGGGTAGCTGGATTAGACGAGAATAACTTTAAGAATGCGTCCAAATGCGAGCCTGAAAGATGGCTGAATCCTACGGTACCACATTCGCCATTACTGGTAGCTCCTTTCGGTTCTGGTCGAAGAATCTGCCCAGGCAAACGCTTTGTGGAACTTGCTCTACAACTTATCCTAGCTAAGGTTGGTAATTATACAGTAATACGTGATTCCGTTCATATTTTACTTGCTTGTTTTATAATTCCTCTTCCCCCGTGATATCGTTTAATATATCATAATACATTTCTCTCTTTTTTTTGTTTTTTTTTCAACATATCTGCAATATTTTCTCACGAACAAAATTACGCGTTCAATTTTTTTCAACGAAATTACTTACAGTCAAAAAAGAAAAAAAAGTAAGAAATCGATTAAAACTAGGACAAAATTTGCATTATTTTCCTTTTTATCATCGTCGTACTTGTCCTTCGGTAAATCGTTATAACAATTTAGAAAGAAAATTATTAATGAGCATGGAATGTCGATAAAAATCAGACCTTGAAAACATTTCCAACGCGGCGAAAGATCATTTTCTCTTTGAGATCGTCGAAGAATTATAAAAAAAAAAAAGATGAGAAAGTCAAATTCTTGAAAAAATGTTAATCCTAAATTAGGTGAAAACAAAAAATAAATACTTTATCGCGTGTATAACGGATTATTATTGAAAATATCAGGATTGTGAGTAATCTTTTTTTTTGTGTTTCTTTTTCAAATTTTCGCAGATCGTTCGAGAATTCGAAATCATAGTAAACGATAAACTCGATCTACAATTCGAGTTTATTCTCGCACCGAAAAGTCCGGTCTCGCTCGGTTTTCGAGATCGCGTGGAGGTGGTATGAAAAAAAAAAAAAAAAAACAAAAGAAAAAGGAAAAAAAGGAAAAAAAAAACTACGAATAAAAGAGATCGAACAGAATAAGAAGACCAAACGAGAACGAATGAACGCCTTGCCAAATTGCGTTTATCAATTCGTGTCGTATATATAATATGTTGTACATTAAAATAAGCGCGAAAAATAATGTTTAAGCATTCGACGACGTTTATCATTTTCATTGATTGATCTATGAAAAAAAAGAACTTTCATCTTTTAAAAAAAAAAAAAAAAAAATCTTTTCCTTTTAATTAGCAATATTGTTAACTCGTTGCACTCGACGAATCTTATATCAATTGATTTAACAATTCTATCAATGTGTTTTCGTAATATTTCCATTTTCTTATTTTGATTTTTTAATTAAATCAACGAACGTACGAACAACAATAACAATAAGTCATGTAATGCATCTCGAGTGCTAAAGGTTAATATTCTAAAAATGTTCTAATAATAAATTATCTATTATCTTCTACGAGAGACTAATTAGGATCGTTTAACTTTGTCATTGTTGTTTATTCTTTTCTTTGTTTTTTTTTTTCTTTTCAAACATTGGCGTATCTTTTCGCATGCAATAATCATTCGAATTCCTAGAACGGTTTTTAAATTAATCGCGTTCTTGAATTAACCATTTTTTTTTTTTTTATCTTCTCGATTATCTTTCTTAGTTTTTTTATTTATACATATATATATATATTATATTTTTGTACAATTTAAAGTAAAACGATCCTTGTAATTAAGTTTAAAAATTATGTACGTCAGTGCGATAGTCAAGGCGAGTTTTCATAGAGATAAATGTGAGAAGATTATACGTCGGTATAATAAGCGAAGTGTCCTGCAATTAAACAGAGATAGATAATGGAAACTTGAAATATGAAAAAAAGGATAAAAAGAAAAAAAAAAGAAAAAAGAAAATGGGGAAAAAAAGTAAAGGGTAAAGGAAAAAAAAATAAAAAAAAAAAAAAAATAAAACGTCGCGAAAGGAAGTTGCCTGTCGTTATCGTTAAGGGTCGAAGAAATCATTTTCAAGGACTTTCGTAGCATCCAAGTGATCTCATTACCCCCAAGGAGATCTCGTCTCAAAGGTATCTCATTTTTGTTGTCGCTAAACGATTTTTCATTTTACTACTTGTACGATGTATACTCGTAAGTCTGAGAGAATCTATCATTGTGTGTGTGTGTATATATATAATATAAATACATATACATATAATATTAACGTACGTGTAGATATAATGTCACTCGTTTATCGTATGAGTAAGCATGTTGAGTGTCAAGTGCAATATATATACAAGAAAAAAAAAATATATACATATATATATATATATATATATATACATAAAATATGCGTGGGATCGAGCATTACCATTCCAAAGAAAGAATGAGAAAAAATTGACCGAAGGATTTTGAATAAATCAAAGGTTGGAACAGTTATCCGGAAATCGAAAGAAGGATTTGTTTTATACGTTCAGTGGTTTCAATTTTCTTCACGAATCCCACACACATATATTATATATATATATATAAATAATCTATACGCGTGTCCATCATACGTATCGTATTTTATATGCTCGTTTACAACATACGAATATTACAACGATGCGTTCTTTTTTCCGTAAATTTTACAAAAGAAAGAAAAAAATGAAAAAAAGAGAAACGCAAATTTAAATAAGAAGAATTGATATTTATTTTAATCGTTCAACATAATCACTTCTACGATAGACCAACATGTAAACTTTTATATTTGATATACTGAAGGATGTAATAGAGTAGTATAATATTGTTATCGACGATCTCTCTCTCTCTCTTTCTCTCTCTCTTTCTCTCTCTCTCTCTCTCTTTTGATAATGTATTTGTCATGTTTAATCTAATAGTAACGAGAGCATTTTTTACAAATCGTTTATTTATGTTAACAATACAAATGATATTGTAGCGCACAGAAAGTACGTTAGTCTCGAAACATATGTTACAGTTTATATTAGAACAATTTCTAGATTATCTGGGTGACTGAAAGGAAAGCTCCTTATCGCGTAAACCAGTAGCGTAATAAAGCGCGCCTACTGTTTACGGAGCTTTCGATAGAAATACCCTAAAGGTTCCTTACCACTTTTCTTGGTCTAAAAATGATTTTACAACGAGTTACTAACTGTAAATATATTTGATTATTTTCTCGTATACAATACGTCTTACCGTTTATTATAATTTCCATTTTTTGTTATACGACAATAACATTAATTGTACGCTAATCGTAAGATAAGAAATCGTATCTCTCTTTTTTTTCCTTTTATTTTATGGTTTTTTTTTTTTTTTTTTTTTTTTTTTT